CTCCTAGGCGGTTGCTGTATTGCACCGCCGATACATTGTCTATCCTGAGTAGAAGGTAACAATCCAAAAGGTGGTTCGCAAGGCTCCGTATCGCAAACGAGTCCGCAATCAGTTCTAGGCAATTGATGTGATACTCCATCTCCGATTCCGACCAGGGCCCCCCCGTGGAGCCGGTCACACAAGTGGTTCCCCAACCCCCAAAGGCTCGCCTCCGACTCCAATACAAAATCTGGGGTCGGTCGGAAAATCGCCTTGCAGTTCCAGGAAATGTGAAGTAGCCACCAGCGAAGCTCGATCTTGACATCCGGGGTGAAAGGAATCACTTGGTTGTAGCAGGGTCTCCTGCGCAGGAAGCGGGCCTTCAGGCGTTGAGTGGCCCTGTAGTGAAGGGGGCCCACGTTGATCGCCTGAATTGATGCGGAGAGGAGGCCTATCAAGCGAGCCAGCACTCGGAGTGGAATATGGTCTTGACGCAGTATCCTCCGGATTTCCTTCCGAATGGTGGTGATCTTCGAATGAGGAAGGTGAAGGAGGAACTCCGTGGCGTCTATTTCGAAACCCAAGAAGTCGATAACCTGTGTCGGGGAGAGGGCCGATTTCTCCCGGTTGACCGTGAAACCCAGCGATTCGAACAAGGAAATTGCAGAGAGCGGCTGAGATTTCAGTCTGGAGGGGCTTTCACAAAATATCAGTAGGTCGTTTAGGTAGTTGATACAACGGACACCTCTGGATCGGAGTCGTTTTGTCACCGGTTTTAGTAGTTTGGTGAAACACCACGGTGCCAAGCGAAGGCCGAATGGTAGGCAGGTGAACTGGCACGGTCTGCCCATCCAGAGAAATCTGAGAAACCGTCGACACGTAGGGTCTACCAGGAGTGACAGATAGGCACCCTTCAGGTCCAGTCTTGTAAACCAATCCCCGGGGCGGAAAAGGTCCCGCAGCAGATGGATGCTGGGAGTAGAAAGACCTTGCGTGGTAGGTAGGGAAGAAGGATGGTGCTTGGGATCCTCGATGGCCAGATGACCCAAAACGTCTGGCAACATGACTCCGCAGTCGGCCAGCCTTGCCAAAAACCCATGAGGTGAGTGGGCAGAAGACCCTTTTCATCGATGTCTGGGCTTTGTTTAAGGTAGTGTAAAGGTTCACGTGTCTGTGAAGCTCCTTGATGAAGGGTTCTCCGAAGAGCAGACCCTTGGCCAGGGGGCCTAGTTCTTTCGACCCCATGTCTGATAGCTTGGTGTCCATACACTCTGTGCAGAGCGCGACGTTGGTGTTGCCCAGCAGGCAAATGGAGCGCAGGGCCTAGTCTCGTATGGCCGCTGGGTCCAGATCAGTACCCTGTGAAAAGGCCTCGTCCGCCAGCATGAGGATTCTGGCCAGGGGACCCAACATCTAGTAGCTTATCCTGCGCCAGTCGGAGGCTGCCCTTGACCGCTTTCTTAGGGTCACGCCCGGTACGGGTCATATAGGTGGAGATCATGGAGTCAAATTCCGGGGTCACGGCGACTTTATCCGGCAACCTGGGTCTGGGGCATTCCGCCCCAAGCCTCTTCCGTACCTCCCAGTCCAGAGGTCTGCGGACCCAGTAGTGTACATACTGTTCCAGGTGGTCGGGCAAGAACCATTCGGAGGACCTGGGCTGCCTAATACTCCGTGGATAGAATAGGGGCTCACCTGTAGAGTCCAGGAATACTCCCTCCAGCAGAGGGGCGGGCTTTGTGTGCATAGAAAGGGCTCCGGATTCTCTGGGCCACCTGGGGTCATCCATCTTCGCCCCACCTGTCCTCATCCTCCGACGGCGATAGTTCTGCCCACCATTTGTCTAAGACGGCTAGGGGAGGAGGGTGTACGTAGTCCTCCTCCTCGTCAGAGAGGTGTCCCTGGTGAGTGGGCGAGTCCGGGATCCCTTGTCTTGGGCTTTTTCGCTGGAGCCTTGCCCTTCCGTGTGCTCCGGCCCAGGGCCTTCACCCTTCCAGTATCGCTTACGCGTTCTTGTCTGTTCTCTCCTGGGAGAATCTGACCCTGCGGAGTCCTCTGCCGTATGGGGGGCCTCTCTCGTGCTGCTATCTGGTGGCCCTTATTGGAGGGCCCTAGTCAGGGCCTTTTCCACCAGGGTGGCAACCGCCGCATTATTCATGCCTTCCATTTTTAAGCTTTGCTCCTTTGTTGCAGGATCCATAGTATGGGCAGGTCTTGGCTGTAGCGTGACACCTAGGGTTTAAAAACAGGACAAGTGTCACAAGCCGAATAGCTGGGGCAGCACCCCTAATACTACAGGCAAGATAGTAGTGTACAGTAAATATATATATATATATATATATATATATAAATCTAGATGTATAACCGAACCAGGGGTCGTCCGGTGGCAATGGCACAGACAGCGCAGGCCATTCCTGGGGCACAGACAGAGCAGGCCAATCCTGCGGCACAGTTAAGGCAGGCCAGACCTGGGTGCTAAGAGCGGGCAGTAATTTTTTGGTGTCCAATATATAATGGAAAAAAGATGTTCCTCCAGCCTAGTGGCTACCCCCTCTTAGTAATTCAAACGCACAAGTTTGGTTATCTCTGATTATTTCAGAGCCTAATCAAATGGTCTGTCTGCCTAAATGCCACTCTATCCCAGTGGGTATGAACAGGGACAAAAACCTCTCATGGGATCACGCTTGGGCAGAGGCACAAGTGGAGAAGGCCAGAGTACAGCAGAAACAGAATCCAGGGCACAGGGTCTGACAGCCCACAATCACCCCCAACCTCAACACTCCACCCTCCACCTAGACCGGGAGCCGAACCCGGTTGTGAGGGTGGTCCCGAGGTGCCCACACTTAAGAGAGGTTAATCTCGGGAGCCGCGGCTCCCACGTGGTAGGCCTGAACCCACCCTCCCCGACCCGGACGCAGGCGGGCCGTGGTAAAGCTCTGTCTGCGGCCCAGCGGCGCAGAGTAGTCCCGGAAAACAGGGACTGCAAGGTGGCACAAGGGGCTACCAGAGACTTACTCTGCTGCCCCGGCGCATGGGGAAATGGAGGAGGTGGCAAGGAGGCCGTCTCCCGTAAATACCTGGCCAAAGGATGACAACAGAAAAAAACAAAGTAGATAGGATAAACAGATATGAGTTAAAAAAAAACTTAGAATAAAGGTAATGCCAAAAAACTAGAAAGAGGAAGTAGTTGGTTGGGGGGAGGACCATTATTTTACTTTTTTCTGATTGGTTGTTTTCTCTCTGTGTTAATGTTCTGCTGTGAAGTTCCAGTAAGGAGAGACTTAATCGAAATATGAAGCCTCCTGTCATGTTATAAAATTCTGGGTTAGGATTGTCATAATGTTCAGCCAGTGCAGCAATTCACTGGTTAAAATACAGCCATGTATTGTTTATAGTTATCCTTAGAGAAAAGCCCTGCTGTTTAAAGCGTGATCAAGAACAATCTAAAGAACTGTGCGGTAATCAGTATACCAGAAAATGGAAACACTTTTGGATGTTTATTATTATTATTATTCATTGAATTATTATTCATTCATTCATATAGCAGTGATTTACACAAAAGGAGGACAGCGAAAGCTTCTTGTTTTAGAAAATCCATCCACGGTGATGGTGGGGAAACACCCTCGCATGTCCTTTACTATATTTGATTTATTTCTACTTAATTTTAACATTGACAAAAAAAAAGGCACATGACAGACTTGGTGCAGATGAAGGAAAATATTGATGCAACTTTTCATAAAATCACCCCATATTTCCCCACTTTGTTTGACAGGGAGTGACCTAGATCCCTGAGCTTGCTTTGTGGTACTGCAGCACACTGGGGGTTATGTTCTGTTCCATCCCTGCGCTGTGATATAAAATGTCACTCAGTGCGGTTTTTGTCTCCAGTTTGCTAAATAGTTTCCCCAAAGTTTCTTCTAAAAGGACTAAAACAATTTGCTGACTCTCTTTGTGGTCATTTCCGGGAACAAAAGAACAGAGAAAATGACAATACTGAAATGTCTTGTATTTTTTTTTTTTTAGTTTTTGTCCTAAAGTTCCATACTACTTGTTCATGTGTATATATGCTTTCAAAACTCAAATAAAAATGATTTAAAAGAAAACTTTTATTCACTAAATTGTTTACTGCAGTGAGTTTTATTTCACTAAAATAGCCAGTTTTGGGGGAATCGCAGACTCTATTGCCCAAGGTTTTCTATGTTGGTTTTATTAAAATGATCTGCTGTTGCACCTTTAGACTCTAACTGGTATTGTCTATAGGAGATTATGTCATGTCACAAGTGCCAAGCCACTTGTGATTCTGAGGGCAGTCACTGATTAACTTACGCCCTGCATTACACCAACAGTTTATTTATTGCATGAGAGCAATAAAGACGTCCATATCAGCAGACACATTCTATTCCAGATATATTCTGTAAATACATCTACAGAGCAACGCTGAAATGTGTCACTGTGAATCATTACCTGCATCCTGTCTTTTGTCTTCCTTTCAGCCTCTGCTTTGCTTAGATCTCCTTTCCAGGTAGAACTGGGGCTGACGAGATAGGACCAGACTGTACTAGAAGTGAATCCGGTTTAAGTACCGAGACACCGAGCAGACAGACACCTACCTAGCCCTGCAGTGCATGTATCAGACAGAAACACCTAACTACCTCTCCCTGCGGTGTGTATGCTTCAGCCTGGTGCTTACCTCTACGGTGAGTGTGTGTTTGTTTCCCTTTTCCTATAGGTTTTTTTTTTGTTTTTGTTTAATAACAACAATAGTAATAATATTGCTGTAGGGTGCACGCTGTGAGATTTACTGAGGGCCATAGGGCGCCGTTCTAACATTTACTGAGTGCCGTCGGGCGCACGCTCTGAGATTTACTGAGTGCTGTAGGGTGCACGCTCTGAGATTTACTGAGTGCTGTAGGGTGCACGTTCTAAGATTTACTGAGTGCCGTGGGGCGCACGCTCTTAGATTCACTGAGTGCTGTAGGGCGCACGTTCTAAGATTTACTGAGTGCCGTAGGGCACACGTTCTAAAATTTACTGAGGGCCATAGGGTGCACGCTCTGAGATTTACTGAGGGCCATAGGGCGCACGCTCTGAGATTTACTGAGGGCAATTGGGTGCACGCTCCAAGATTTACTGAGTGATGTAGGGCGCACGCTCTGAGATTTACTGAGGACCATAGGGTGCACGCTCTGAGGTTTACTGAGTGCTGTGGGGAGCACGCTCTGAGATTTACTGAGGGTCCTAGGGCGCACGCTCTGAGATTTACTGAGTGCCGTGGGGCGCACGCTCTGAGATTTACTGAGTGCTGTAGGGAGCACGCTCTGATATTTACTAAGTGATGTTGGGCACATGCTCTGAGATTTACTGAGTGATGTAGGGCGCATGCTCTGAGATGTACTGAGTGCTGTAGGGTGCACGCTCTGAGATTTACTGAGTGCTGTGGGGCGCACGCTCTGAGATTTACTGAGTGCTGTGGGGCGCACGCTCTGAGATTTACTGAGTGCTGTGGGGCGCACGCTCTGAGATTTACTGAGTGCTGTGGGGCGCACGCTCTGAGATTTACTGAGTGCTGTAGGGAGCATGCTCTGAGATTTACTGAGGGACGTAGGGCGCACGCTCTGAGATGTACTGAGTGCTGTAGGGAGCACGCTCTGAGATTTACTGAGTGCTGTAGGGCGCACCCTCTGAGATTTACGGAGTGCTATAGGGCGCACGCTCTGAGATTTACTGAGTGCTGTAGGGCGCTGTAGGGAGCACTCTCTGAGATTTACTGAGTGCTGTGGGGCACATGCTCTGAGATTTACTTTGTACTGTGGGGCGCACGCTCTGAGATTAATTGAGTGCTGTAGGGCGCACGTTCTAAGATTTACTGAGGGCCATAGGGTGCACTCTCTGAGATTTACTGAGTGCTGTGGGGCACATGCTCTGAGATTTACTTTGTACTGTGGGGCGCACGCTCTGAGATTAATTGAGTGCTGTAGGGCGCACGTTCTAAGATTTACTGAGGGCCATAGGGTGCACTCTCTGAGATTTACTGAGTGCTGTGGGGCACATGCTCTGAGATTTACTTTGTACTGTGGGGCGCACGCTCTGAGATTAATTGAGTGCTGTAGGGAGCACGTTCTAAGATTTACTGAGTGCTGTAGGGCGCACCCTCTGAGATTTACGGAGTGCTATAGGGCGCACGCTCTGAGATTTACTGAGTGCTGTAGGGAGCACGCTCTGAGATTTACTGAATGCTGTGGGGCGCACACTCTGAGATTTACTGAGTGCTATAGGGCGCACGTTCTAAGATTTACTGAGGGCCATAGGGTGCACTCTCTGAGATTTACTGAGTGCTGTGGGGCACATGCTCTGAGATTTGCTGAGTGCTGTAGAGAGCACGCTATGAGAATTACAGAGTGCTGTAGGGCTCAGAGATTTACTGATTGCTCTAGGGAGCACGCTCATAGATTTACTGAGTGCTGTAGGGCGCTATAGGGAGCACGCTGTGAGATTTACTGAGTGCTGTAGAGAGCACGCTCTGAGATTTACTGAGTGCTGTAGGCCGCTATAGGGAGCACACTGTGAGATTTACTGAGTGCTGTAGGGCGCACCCTCTGAGATTTACGGAGTGCTGTAGGGCGCACCCTCTGAGATTTACGGAGTGCTGTAGGGCGCACGCTCTGAGATTTACTGAGTGCTGTAGGCCGCTATAGGGAGCACACTGTGAGATTTACTGAGTGCTGTAGGGCGCACACTCTGAGATTTACTGAGTGCTGTAGGGCGCACCCTCTGAGATTTACGGAGTGCTGTAGGGCGCACGCTCTGAGATTTACTGAGTGCTGTAGGGAGCACGCTTTGAGATTTACTGAATGCTGTGGGGCGCACGTTCTAAGATTTACTGAGTGCTGTGGGGAGCACGCTCTGAGATTTACTGAGTGCTGTGGGGAGCACGCTCTGAGATTTACTGAGTGCTGTGGGGAGCATGCTCTGAGATTTACTGAGTGCTGTAGAGAGCACGCTATGAGATTTACAGAGTGCTGTAGGGCTCAGAGATTTACTGATTGCTCTAGGGAGCACGCTCATAGATTTACTGAGTGCTGTAGGGCGCTATAGGGAGCACGCTGTGAGATTTACTGAGTGCTGTAGGGAGCACGTTCTAAGATTTACTGAGTGCTGTAGGGCGCACGTTCTAAGATTTACTGAGGGCCATAGGGTGCACTCTCTGAGATTTACTGAGTGCTGTGGGGCACATGCTCTGAGATTTACTGAGTGCCGTGGGGCGCACGCTCTGAGATTAACTGAGTGCTGTAGGGAGCACGTTCTAAGATTTACTGAGTGCTGTAGGGAGCACGCTCTGAGATTTACTGAGTGCTGTGGGGAGAATGCTCTGAGATTTACTGAGTGCTGTAGAGAGCACGCTATGAGAATTACAGAGTGCTGTAGAGAGCACGCTATGAGAATTACAGAGTGCTGTAGGGCTCAGAGATTTACTGATTGCTCTAGGGAGCACGCTCATAGATTTACTGAGTGCTGTAGGGCGCTATAGGGAGCACGCTGTGAGATTTACTGAGTGCTGTAGGGAGCACGTTCTAAGATTTACTGAGTGCTGTAGGGAGCACGCTTTGAGATTTACTGAGTGCTGTGGGGAGAATGCTCTGAGATTTACTGAGTGCTGTAGAGAGCACGCTATGAGAATTACAGAGTGCTGTAGGGCTCAGAGATTTACTGATTGCTCTAGGGAGCACGCTCATAGATTTACTGAGTGCTGTAGGGCGCTATAGGGAGCACGCTGTGAGATTTACTGAGTGCTGTAGGGCGCTATAGGGAGCACGCTGTGAGATTTACTGAGTGCTGTAGAGAGCACGCTGTGAGATTTACTGAGTGCTGTAGAGAGCACGCTCTGAGATTTACTGAGTGCTGTAAGGCGCAGGCTCTGAGATTTTCTGAGTGCTGTAGGCCGCTATAGGGAGCACACTGTGAGAGCACTTTTATATCAATACAAAAAAGAAAAGAAAAAAACTAACATAAAGTGTCTCAACATTTTGGTAAATATAGTCACAATGAAATGGGCATAAAAAATAACTTTTAATGGATACATTAAAATGTAAAATAGAAAAGATAAAAGCAAAACAAAAAGCACAAGGCTACAAAATAATATGTCCTATAAACTAGTAGGGGTATTAAACCTCCAATAGAACCAATAGCAAGAGAAGTGTTGCTTCAAAGAAATACTTATTGGTGTAAAGTAAAACTACTTGCTGTGAACAATGTGACTGAATTCTAAATAGAAAAGTGGGATACTAGTATCTTCTAAACTCCTCCTGCAGAACAGGGTCGGTTGGATATAGATGAAATGCCTCTAGTGCACAAGGGGTTAAACAGCACAACAGTTGGTTGCAATGGTTAATAGAAAAGAGGCAGGGAATACCTGTAAAATAAAGAGGTATAGGAGACAGTTGCAAGCTAGGTTAGATATAATGGTCAGTAGAAATATAGAGACTATAGGTAATCCTGACGCTTGCTAGCAAGAGAGGTGGAAATACAAAGTGATACTTTAATAGTAAAAAGTTAAGCCACTTTCTATAAACAATGTCACTGAATTCAAGATGGGAGGGTGGGGTATTAGTATCCTCTGAACTTATCCTGCAAAACAGGGTCTGCTGTATATATATAAAGTACCTCTAATACACAGGAGGTTAAACAGTAAACCAATAAAGAAGAGGCAGAGAATACCTGTAAATAGGGAGGTATAGGAGGCAGTAGCAAGCTAGGATTAGATGCAATGATAAATAGAGATGTAGAAAATATAGATAATCCTGATGCTTGTAAGATAGAAAAGCTAAGTGCCTTCGAGGGCACCCCTTAATAAATGCCTATACTATATAGCATAACCTCCCAAAAAGGTGTAAATACAGAGAGATACGTAAATAGTAAAAAGTGAAGCCACTTGCTATAAACAATGTTCAAGATAGGAGGGTGGAGTAATGGTATCCTCTGAACTCCTCCTGCAGGACTGGGTCTGCTGTATATAGATAAAGTATCTCTAATACACAGGAGGTTAAACAGCACACCAATGTGGTTGCAATAGTTAATAGAAAAGAGGCAGAGAATACCTGTAAATAGGGAGGAATAGAAGGCAATAACAAGCTAGGATTAGATACAATGATAAATGGAGATGTAGGAAATATAGGTAATCCTGACGCTTGTAAGATAGAAAAACTAAGTGCCTTCGAGGGCACCCCTTAATAAATGCCTATACTATATAACTCAACCCCCCAAAAAGGAATAAAGAGACAGAGGATAGGACAAGTAAAAAGGATGCCTAGTTGTAAAAGTAAGATCGCTAGTCAGACCGCGGCTGAATAAGTGCAGCAACAGAGGAATGTTAAGCTAGGCTTCCTGAGCCCCTGACACGCACGTTTCGTCTGGGTTACTGATTGCTCTAGGGAGCACGCTCATAGATTTACTGAGTGCTCTAGGGCGCACGCTCTGAGATTTACTAAGTGCTCTAGGGTGCATGCTTGAGAATTATTGAGTGATACAGAGTGTGTGCTCTTAGCTCGGCGAGTGGGTGCCCTGATGGCCATTTTCTCAATGTAATATTAACAATAAAAGGATAACCGTGTTTATTTACTAAAGAATCAATTGTTGGAAATTTAAAGTGAATTTCAAATTTAAGGCCAAAATTGCCGAACTAGAAAAATACTCTCACTCAGTAATGCTTCCAGATCAGCTACTCTGTCCTTAAATTCACTTTGAATTCCTGACAGATCACACTTTAGTGAATAATGCATGTGTAGATGGAGTGATGTTTTACATTGAATTAATATATTCTAATCAGACACCTGATTTCAGGCCTCACTGAGACTGGTTTTAGAAACGTGTTCGCTGTCTGAAGGCACTGTGCGCATGTTGGTCCTCTAAAATAAATGATGAGTGTATTTGTTTTATCTCAGAATTTGTTTTGTTGAGTCATTGAAATGATAACCTGTGTATGTTAATTCACTGCAAGTTTTACATTGGTGTGTGTCTGTGTAAACATACCAATAACTAGATACATTGGATGTCAACCCACTGAAACTGATTAGCTATGTGTGCTTAGATACAATGCTTCTATGGTTGTGTGCGTGTCTGCTGTCACTTGATGCTTGTGTGTGTATTCTCTATAATGCGTTGGTGTCTGCACGCTGCAGGAAATATTTGTTTGTATATAGATCCTCGGTAACAGGCGTGAATCCCACAATGAATCCGTTTTTTAAACTGCTTTCACGTCCCGCTAAGTATTTACATTTTTACAGAAATTAGGGATATTCTTAAATTAAATGGTCTTCTAAAGGTTATTCTTTGAGTGTTAGTTGTTGAAATCAAATGACAAATGCCTATTTTAATGAATTAATAGTTGTGTTTATTTGTTTTTAGAATTACTAAAATCTGATTGTTACTGGTAACGTCATTGGAGGTTGGAAGTGCGTACACAGAGAAAGGTAAACCTATTTATTATGGTCTATCCGGTGTTATCAGCTTCCAGTTTATACCAGTAGAATCTGAAGAACGCCAGACAGATAAACTGGCCGTACAGCACTTTATATCCAGACAT